TATTGTTAACAATAGGTGTTAATTAGGTGTCAACAATTGCCATGTGATGTATCAGTCACATGGAGGCAGTGCTTAAAAGCCTGAAGTTTGCCTGAAACTCTCAGACTGAAGAAGTCTCTTGGAGAAGAGACGAAACGTTTCATTAAAGAACCCATCCAGAAGACCTATACAATTTTTTCTTTTTGATTTTTTTTTTAAAACGGCATGCTTGACTTTAACAAACTGGAAACACTTAACACCTCAGTCTGTCTAGCTTACATGAACAATAATACCCCTTTGAGCGTGGAATGTTGCTTATTTAATCATGTGAAAGAAAACAAAATGAGCCCCTGAGGATCACATTATGTACATCCAAAGTCCATAGGAGCTGGGTCAAACAAAAGATTTATTTTACAACAAATGCTTTCAAAGGAGGAACATGGTGAAAAACAACATCCTAAAATCCAAATGAGAGAAGCTGGGTTTTTATCATCAGGTTACAATCAGGAAGAAAGTGACATTCAGTTCAATAACATTTTCATCAGGGTTGTAGAGAAACGAACAGGATCATTAGGAGATCAAGAAGTGGCACTGCTTTCAAAGTGCAACTACAAGTAGGAGAGTTGCAGGACCGTCTGCAGAAAATGGAATGTAAAAACCCCACAACAGGCAGCTGAAAACTTGCTAAGTACCTCTCCAGCTTTAGAACCGTCCACAAACACAAACAGCTCCCTGCTTCGAGGTTTTTAATTCTTCAAGTGTTTATCTCCCTCCCCCATGATTCCTGCAGCTGCCAGCCTTGACAGCCGACCACCCAGAAATTTAAATACATATCTACCGCCACTGAAACCTACTGCAGAGTCACGGCCTTCACTCCGATTAAATTAACATGTAGAGACCGCAGCGATAACAGTCGTCACTCATAGAAAACACAAAAGTTAAAACTGCATCCAACACAAAACACACGGTCAACACCGTTACGCACCAAAACTGACTAGGGAATCACTCCATCTTTGTTTGGGTCTGAAGCAAGTGGCTGAGCAGAGACCTCAGGAAGACCCTCTCTGAGCCTGGATGCATGGTTCCAACATAGATGTGGTGGGATGGAAACCTTACAAAAAACAACAACAGGATCAAATATAACTAATATGCTCTACTGTCTGATACAAACGAAAACTGACATTATCCAGCATAAATAAGATTAATAACCAAGTGATATTTTAGAATTCAAACAATTAATTGAACCATTTAAAGGTTTAGTTTCTAATTTCTTCAAAAAGATAATCTCTATATGAAAGCAATGAGAGCAAATAATTTATACACAGGATAAGTTATAGGTTATTTAACCTCTGCATAATTAGAAAAAAAAAAAAAACACTGAAGGGGTTTTCACAACCTGGTAACTGAAAAGCACTAGAAATAGTTTAACAAATGTTTTGGAATAAAATCATTTCCTGATTGTGGATACAGGAAGGAGGAACAATAAAAGCACCTGTAGGAAATAATACTTGAGTAGTTTTACTACTATTAGTGCGTATCCAGTAAAAGAAAAAAATGTCGTATTGAGCGGAATGGTCACAAATTTGTGCAATGCGTAACAAATATTGAATTATTTGTCAGTAAAAAAAGGTCCGACTCACCGTTCACTGGCGCGGAATGATTCCGGAAACAAAATAAYGTACAACACTCAAAAGTCGTTGGACTACAACAGCACCAGCCAGACTACTGAAAACTGTGACGCTAATTTACCGTTCATCAACTACAGCTACTGCACTACTACTGAAAACACTTTACATTCAAAGTACCATCTGACCCTGAACTGTACTTCCTGTTTACCACRGCCTTCTTCCTGCAGGACAGCCAGCTGCAGCTATCGCTAAGATGAATGTGAAACTATCAGCAGTGCATCTCGTCTCAACTGAATACGCATTTTTCTTGGGTGGGTGATATGTGGGTCAGCGAGGCTGCAGCACGTTACCATGACAACATAATAAACCCGAGGGAGGGAAGAGGGCCAGGGGAGTTGCATCATCATATACACAAAAAAAAAAAAAAAAAAAAACGCTACCCAAACGCTGAAATCAGAAAATCACTAATCCAGCTGTGTTGTATGAAATCTAATCTGAACATAAAAAGCTGTATGTTTTTGTTGTAATGATGTTTCATGGCAACAAACCTTACACTTGGGAAGTCTGTAATTCCCCTTTAAATGGTGCCATATTTATTAAGTTTAAGCAGCTGCATTGAGTGGGTGGGTAGACCCATAAAAAATAACTCGTCAAATCTTCCGCATCCATTCCAAATAGCTAAATATGCTTTAACTTGTTCAAAGTTTTACCAAACAGGGACCTTTGTAGCAYGTGGAAGAACCATATGCAGCCACAACAGCCTGGCACCACCTCATGATACCCTACAGCCAACAGCAGAATAAGCTGTGAGGTATGTGACATTTTTATTGAATTCGATCACAACAAAAGGTTTTTTTTAAAAACAGCCATTTTTACTTTTTCTTCAGCTCAAGTTAAAGATTTCAATCAAGTTGATTGTAATATTTCAATCTTAAGCCAAGGTTTGCCTCCACTCTGCATGTCCAAAAGTACTCCACACCTGTCTGATCTTAGCATTAAAAAAAAAAAAAAAAACTCACCGGTAAAGATTTGTCCTGTTAATGACAAAACTGGCACTACAAGAATAAAATAAAATAAAGCACCCTCATTTACCCTCCAAACGGTTTTACATCAGATCCTGATTATGGAAAAACATAAAAAAATTGGTCATCGTTGTTTCTTCACGTTGCTGCAGAGCTGCAGGACAGATTATGGATGATGATGCAACAGCTGCATGTGTGTGTGTGTGAGTGTGTGTGTGGTCATCTGTGATCAAGTCTTTGTTTTCGTCACACAAACCCGTAGCGGGGAAAGGTKGGGGGGAAGTTAACCGAGCTTCGTGATCTGTAGATCTCCTTGTATTCGTACTGTGTCGATGGAGGACAAAGATTTTACTTTGTGGTAAAAGTCAAAGAGCTGGTGTCCGTCCACGAATATCCGGAACCGCTGGTGCTCGCAGTGGATCTCAATCTGCAGGGAGGGGAGGGGGAAAGAGACAAAGGAAAGGGTTGAGTAACTCGAAACAGGGCAAGAATTGATTCAACAAATGATGCTTCAGATAATTCAAAGGAAAAAAACAAAAATGGCAACGCCAACTTCCTGCAGACTGATATTTTGGAGACAAATGTTTTATTGGAAAAATATTGTCAGAGTAACAGTCTTCACAAAAAAAAAAAGTCTGTTTCCTGTTAGAACAATGGCCATCCGTTCAATGGCAATGTGCCCTGAACCATTTGCGCCACTCTAGTCAGATCTTTAGTTTCTTACACTCAATAAAGCTCGGGGAGTCCGGTAAAATTTAAAAAGACCCACATTCCACCTTTTGAACATAATGAAAAAAAATGGATGCACTTGAGTTGGTGTAGTTTGACTGTTGACCTGAAATTATTGAAAAATAATGTTTTGCAAAACATTACGGCAACTTCTTTGCCACAGTTTTACCAATTAGCTCTTTGAAAATTAGCTTATTGGTGCCAAAATACCAGTTAGTACCATTAAACAAATTTATTATTGACAGTTTTCTTGCTAAATGGTCTAAAGACATGGGAAAATTTTGTCTTAAAGGTGGTAACAGAGAAAAAAAAAACAACACTTTTTTGAAAATCTGACTTAAATCTCAGAATTCTGATTTTTTTTTTCAGTTCCGAGGGGGAAAAAAAGGTTAGAACTCAGGAAATGTATATATTATTTTTAGTTCAGCTTCAACTAAATGTATCCAACAAATACAAAAAACAAAACAGATAAGTTCAGTTTCCACATGGACCCTTATTGTCAAATATTTTCGTACATCAGCACAAACTGGATCTTCACCCAAATGGTAAATAATAAAGTATCTGCACACAAAATGGGACAGTTAAACTCACCCCGCCCCACACGCAGCCATCCGGCTCTAAAACCACAACACATCATGTGTCCGTCCACATGCCCCCAGTTTGCATAAAACACTCTAATCTCCCAGGATCCAGCTTCTGCTTTGGTCGTCCTCTGACCACTAAACACTGACATCTCGTCAGAATGGTGACAGGGAAGGGACAACATAACACAAAAAAAAAACAAAAAAACATGACCTCTGAATGCATCAGAGAAGTTTAATTCATGCTGCCGGCTTCCCAACGAACTAAAGCTGGAGTCCATCTTTAGAGGAACATGCCGGTTGCTCGTTCACATTTATTAGAGCGGAACGTGAGTGTAAAGGACAAACAAGCTCATATGTTTTGTAATTACTCATGATGCATACATACACAGCTGCTCACCCCCCATCTGAACAGCTGACGCTTGTTGTATACAGACCACTGCACCGACACAGGCTGGCTTTTAATGAAGACAAACATGACTTTGCAAAGAATGCATTTCCTGTTTGTCTTCTGTTTGTTTGTTTTTTAATCCTGCAAGGATACAGCAATTATTAAAAAAAAAACACAAAATAATCCAGCAGATTCTGCTGATTTACTGGTAATCTGCGACTTTGCATTAAATGAACATGACACTATGTTATAAACAAGAGGCTCACGCATAGATCTTACGTTTATAAGGTTAAAGTATATGGCCGCCAATGTGAGGCAATCTTAGAAAGCCCAAAAAATGTCAACAACTCAGCCAATTTTACAAATATTGCTGTAAAATTTGGAGTGGTTGTAGCTGAAACTCAACCCCAACTTATGCTCTGAGCACCGAGTGCCTAAGATCTGCATTGAAAACCTTGCCATAAACATCTGGAATCAACTCCGGTCTGTTAGCGAAATATCTCATGAACCCCTAAACAGGTTTGAATGAAACTTTCAACAAGTAACTACTGGATGTTCAAATACAGCTGATTGTATTGAAGGTTGCCACAGCTAATCAAACTTAGCCTACACAAAAATGACTATAACTGTGAATTTTACAGATTTTGAGCTTAAATTTGGTGGTAGTAGACACGAGTCATTCACAACACACTAGTAAATGTAACTTCTAGAGCTGTGTATTGGCAAGAATTTGGCGATACGATACATTTTATGACAGAGGGGTCACGATACGATATATCGCTATATATTGCGATTTTTTTTTGTCCAAAAATTCTATTAAATAAAAACCTCTTACAGGGGGGAAAAATGAAAAACCAAAATTCATTGTCTCAGAAAATTCTAATATAACATAGACATGCTTTTGATACATTTAGCTGTGTTCTGCTTTGTATGTATTTTATTTTATTTGTTTCATTTTTCTTATTTAATCCATGTTTTCAATTATTAGACTAAATTTGACAATAAATAGTCTGAAAATATTTTTTGCAGCTTTTAGTTTTTAATATTAATTTACAATATGGTCACCCAACACTTAACAATAGCCTCTACCTCAAAAGGTAGAGGAGCCAAATGGCTGGCTCACTGCTGCCAACTAGTGGTCAGAGGCTGAACTACAACATAAAAATGAACGGCTGGCAGGAAAGTTGACATTTTAAGCCTTAATAAAAAAAATCGATACAGGGCTTTAGAATATCGATACAGTATCGGAAAATGAAATATCGCGATATTTCAGTGTATCGATATTTTCTTACACCCCTAGTAACTGCACGTTATATTAAGGATATGGCCAAAATGGGTACGATTATGTCACTTCTCAACCAAAAATGTTTTTATTTTACTTACTTTGATAGGTTTTTATTTWTATATATATAGATTTGACTTTATCCAACACATATGGGCCTAATTAATGAGTGATAGAATGTTAACCAAACAAAATACTGACTAAAATTTTACCCTAAAAGGCTGATCAGGGATGAAAGGAAAGTAGGCGGTGGACGCCTCCTCCTCCGTCCACTTCCCTGAGACGCGGGCGCTGCGCAGGAACTGGCGGTCTCCAAAGCTCGCCGTGAGCTTCAGGGCCACGTCGTAYGGAGGTTCCTCTTTCTCCGACTCCCGGCCGCAGGTCAGGCTGATGTCAAAGCTGAGGAGGAGGAGGAGGACAGGTGGAGTCAGACAGGATGTTACACAGGAGGAGTGGGGCAGCTAATCTGGGATGCGAGGCAAATGAATAATTCTGCCGTTGCTGCGTAAGAGCAAACCTATTGTTTAATTATGTATAATCTCTGCTGCGGGGTTCGGGTTTATCCTCCCCGGCCTGCAGCTGTGCAGTTCAGACAGCCATCTTCGTGGCTTGGAGCTCTGTGGTGAACTAGATGCAACAAAAGGAAGAGAAACAAAACAGCTGGAGCAGCTCCGTCAGCTGGGACATTCACATAAAGCCTGGTTCGACTCCTCTGCCAGCAGCAGCAGCAGCAGCAGCAGCAGCTGAACAAGATGAGGTCATGAAGGATTTTTCCAAGTTCGGCACAAGTTTCCATGTAGGGTAAGAAACGACACACCCAAACAAAACTGCACCACCTTATGTTTTTGTCTGTGTGTGTTTGCARAAATATCTCACGAACCATTAATGGGATTTTAATGAAACCTTTTGAATATAATCCTTGATTTTAAATCTGCAAGTAATTAACTCCTGGAATCAACCTGATTTAAAGATGGCCGCCGCAGCAATTCGCCTTAAAAATAAAACTGAGCTTCTCTTTTAATTTTGCAAATGCAAACCTAAAAYTTGGTGCGGTAGTAGCTGAGACTTACTCCCATCACACCACCTGAGTGCTAAGAGGTTGCACGATAACTCAAAATAAAATTAAAAAATTCTACCCTTTACCGCTACCAGTCAACGCTGTCTGTTAGCAAAATATTTCATGAACTACAAAACGTATTTTAATGAATCTTTCAGAAAGTGCACACTTGATGTACATCTACAACTGATTATTTTTTGGAGTCAATACAGTTAAAAATGGCTGCCACAGCTCGCTGAATTTAGAAAACACATAAATGGCTGTAACTCGATCAGTTTTACAGAAATTGTGCTAAAAATATGTGGAGTTGTAGCTGAGAGTGAGTCACATTTCCCAATCCAGCTGCAAGTTATTGCATAAGATCTTTGCTTTAAAACTTCGGCATTAGCTATCGGAGTCAGCGCTGTTTGTCTGTTAGCAAAATATCTCAGGAGCCGCACGATCAATTTTATTGATTCTTGCAGAAAGTAATGATKGGATGTACATTTACAACTGATTAACCTCTGGAGTTGATATGATTCAAGATGGCTGCCACAGCTAACAGACATTAGAAAACACAAAAGTGGCTCCAGTTTGCTCAATTTTACACACATAGAGCTAAAAACCGGCGTGGCACTAAATGAGAGTTATTCACAACACAAGCATAAGAGGTTGTAGATGAAACCTAGTTTCCAGGTTTGGATAAAAGGCTTTAACTCTTATCAAAGATGATCTTCGTTTGAACTCCTACATGTTGGCAGGGGAACGCCCGTCACCCTTAAATGTCTCTCTTCCTGCGTCACAAAGTGGCTGTACAAGTTTGACATAGTTGGAACAGCGAAGAAAAAGAAAAGGCTTATCTTAAAAGTCTGAAAGATCCAGCTGCAGGCCTTRTCTCACCTGTACGGCTCCAGGTCGACGATCCCCATCACTATGATCTTCTTCCCGGGTCGCATTCCGCCGCGGATACGCCCGCTGAACGGGACAGTCTGCGCCAAACAAACAAAAACAAACAAACAAACAAACATTAAGAAGCGCTGCTCAAACAGCAACAAACAAGAATTTAAGGGGGTAATTTCCCACCAAGAGACGGGATAAATCCTCCTTGTCCGGTGAGATGAGCCCAGGGTTCCCGAGCGAGTCGTTCAGGTGGTCCTCATCCACGGTCTTCAACACCAGGGGGGACAGAATACAGGCATTTATTGAACATTTAAAGGGCTGGGGGTCTCAGCACCGCGAGGCCTGGAGAATCAACAAGGCTCAGAGGCAACAACTGATGAGGGACGGAGCCACGCGCTTTATTTAAAAATATATATATATAATTTCAACACCTGTGTTTCACTGCGACGTGTGTGTGTCTGTACAACACACACACTGATTCATTTCACCATATTGGATTTCCTCTCCTCCCGGCTCCACATCAAACAGATGAGCGCGCTCTGAACGCGCACCTTCGCTCCGCATTTTGTCACAACAATAAACGCAGCGGTGCGTAAAATCCCAAAACCCGCAACAACAACAACAACAATCAAACACCACCACCCCCTTTCACCCCTGGGTGCCGTTGCGCCTTCAGAATACTCACTATCCCGTCCTTTTCTGCTGCCTGCACCGCCATCTTGAGCAGAGTACCATAGGATGCTGGTTTAAAGGCGCAGCGGCAGCCGGGTGTGTGCGTCGTGGCACAGAGCTGAAGACTCGGGAGGATCTTCCAGTTCCTGGGTCTTCTCAGGACCCCCCGCCCCGCACCATCAACAGGACACCCCCTACCCCCCGCCTCCTCCCARATGGGTGGATATCTGCTGACGTGTGCTTTTATAATAATCAGAGTCTAAACGCTTTAATCCCCGTCTGTTGGAGAGGGCTAATCAGGGAGATTTCCGCGTCTCACTGCTTCAGCTAACCGGGAAACTTTATCCCCACCTTTTTCTCCCTCTTTTCCTCTCATCTGTTTTGCAGAAGACCTGCTCGTTGTACGCGTGCCTTCACCCAGTTTGATTGTGGCGCACAGCAGAGCGCGCAAATCAATAATTTGGGAGTGATCAGGCTAAAAATAGACAAAGGGGGAAAATATGGGCCAATTTCTGCGCACTTTAACAGCTTCTCCCTGAATGAAGCGGCAGTTTCAGACTTCAACGCCCTCTCCCTGTTTAAAGTGCATGTGAAGTCACTCTCTCCTTTTGTTTTGTGTGTTTTAGCCAACCCTGCCCTCCTGTGGACATTGGATGGTATTACAGYCTGAATCTCAGGAGAACTGTTCAAGAGCTGATGCAGCAAAGCCTGCATGGGTAGGCTCATTATTATTCACCTCTCTGCCATATTTATTAAAGCATTGATTTGTTACCACTGCAATAAAAAAAAACCCAAAGCAAAAACAGAGCATGAAACAACTAAAACATACATAGTAGCCCTCCAAGACAGAACTGGGCACCACTGATGTAATGATTCTGAATGGAAACGGCAGACACAGTGCAGAAAACAAGAACTTTTCAACAAGACAATCCTTTAAAAATCATAAATCAGCTGACATCATGAATCATTTTAATAATGGGTGGTGGTAATCKTTTAAGGCAGGCAGGAAGTCAAATTCATTTTCACCAAGGCCTCTAAGGGCCAGTTATAATAAACTTATTTGTCTGAACACGAAACGTCACATTCCTCGTCCATTTGTTACAGCTGAGCACCGCTAACAAACACTAACTATTAGTGTTTCCTGCACAGAAACAGAGTTTTAACACTTTTATAAAAGTACTACACGTACAATTGATTAAATGTGACCCATCACATCAAAACAAGGATTAAGTCCAAAAGTTGTACAAGGAGAAATAGGCAAATACAGTGTTTTGACTAAAATGTTAACAAAAATGGCATCTTGTCAAAATATAATGAATAAATGCCTTATTAATGTATCATTTGAACAAACTGTCTGAAATATAATCATAAAACAAAATTTTGAAGCACTTTTTTGAACAGTAGCAACAAAAAAATGATTTTAAAGGAAAACACCTTACAATTTTGACATTTTCCCTGTGAGCTAGCAAAGATTTGTTTCCTTTTAGCTGGGAAATCTCAATAATCAAATATAATTTGTGGTTTCCTCTTTATAAGGACATCAAAAATTCCTCATTAAAATGACATAAAATTAAGATTCAGACCAAATATTTATGTATTATTGTAACCAACAAGGCAAATTAAGTCATATATATGGATTTAATTATGATATCAGGATGATCCAGGTATCAAAATGTAGCTTTTAAAGCCAAGAATCTGAAAATGTATTTAAGTAATTTTGACCAGATTTGACTTAATCCTCATTTTGATATGACAGGTCACAAAGAATACAGAAATACAGAAAGTAAAAGTAAAAGTAAACTAAAGTTAAAAAGTAAAGTAAAAGTACGAGAGTTTTACTCACTGAGGAGGTGTCTTGAATTCTGAATTCTCCCACTTTCCGACAGTAAATCACCACTGTAAATTTGCGACTTGTTAGTGGGAATCTCCCACTTCCCAGTACAAATGAAACCCAACAAAAGTAGCTTACAAAAATGCAGCAAAATATAAATTTTACACAGCTGACTACTGAGGAACCCTGTGACCGTCCACCTAGTGATGGAATACCATCATACCTGATAGTGCGATTATTTACTTACAGTTAGCAAATTACATTTTTTGTGTGGCAAAACAACTCATCAGCAACAGTAAAGCTTTTGTTGAGTTGTAATCAAAATTGTCTAACATAGCAGATTTCATTTGTACTGATTAATGTGTGAACAGGAAATCACCTTGAAGCACATGAAGGTCCAGAGTGCATGTGTGGGCAGCTATGTAAACAATGACAATGACCTCATGTATTTTGTGGGTAAAATAATCAACATGCATAATGGAATATCTAGGTTTTGCTACTGTCTTTAATTATATTTTTAAAGCTCATAAAATGCTGTGACAGGACACATTTTCTTGCAGGCCTTGAGTTTGATGCATGTGTTTTAAGGTAACAGGTTAAAAAAAGGTTTCATAGGTTGAACATTTTTAGCCTCCAAGGCAGTATACTTGGCAGGGAAGACCTTTTTTTTGATCAAAGTCTTTTTTATTATTTTTTTTAACATATCCACAACAAAAAACAAACTAACAAAAACACACACACCCGAAATCCCACCCATCCCACCCCCTCCTATACCAGATCTACTGAAACAACAAAAATCGATCTTGTATTCATACAAGTGATACAATAAACAGGCGTGTGAACAATGAAACAATATTTAACCTTTACACAAAGTTATCTGCCGAAATTTTTCTACATAAGATATAAATGGTTGCCAGATGTCAAAGAATTTGTT